TCAGGGAGGAGTGATAGGGAATGGCAAGGGACACACTGACAAAGGAGATTAATCAGAACTGGCTTTGACAAGCACTGTGGCAATTGAACAATTAAAACAGACATGGGGGAAAAGAAGAACGAACTGGGGAAGAGGGTGGAGAAAACAGTGCAACAATGAATGGAAGAAAGCCCAAAATCTCTGTAAATGTTCATTAAAACTAATAAAATTTAATTTAAAAAAAGCAAAAAAGAAAAAAAAAACTATGGTATATATTCACACAATGCAATACTATGCATCCCTGATAAACAAGGCACTCATAAAATATTATACAACTTTGGTAACCCTGGAGGACATTATGCTGAGTGAATTACCTCAGTCATAATATGATCAATACTGCATAACACCATTAAAATATAGGACTGACTATTTTAAGTCCTATTATAAAATAGGACTGACATGGGTGTTAGGAAGAAACTAAAAAAAGATGGGATAAGTAATGAACACTGCATTGGAACAAAAAAAACTATTAAAAACTGTTTAAAAGGAATATATGGTTAGGCATTGAGGTACAAAGCAAAGTGGACTGGGGAAGGGGTAGCGTGAAGGAAGAAAATTATTCAACAATGAATGAGTATTATTTTTTAAAAAGAAGTGAGCTGGGGATGTAGCAAGAAAAATGTGCAAGAATGAATGAGTGAATGAATGAATGAATGAAAAATCCAACTTTTCTGTAAACTTCTGTTTAAATCACAATGAAAACCCCTCCAAAGCCCCCCTCATTTTTTTAAGAAAAATAAAACACCTATGGTAAGATGTGTGGTGAAAAGTATTCTTAAAGTTAACACCAGTTATGAACACTAGCGTGTCATAAAGGAATGACTAACATGTTGTGTCAGGGTCACAAGGCAGACATTGTCATTAAGTCAGAACCCACTCAGCTGACCATCAATCTATCCAGTTCTTAGAGGCTGTAAATCTCATGAAAGGAGATGGCCTATGTTTTTTCCCTCAGAGCAGTTGGTGGCTTTGAAACCATCTGCCTTTGTGTTACAACACGTTATCCCCTAGGCCACCAGAGCTCCCTCTGTTCACGAGTGGTATACTTAGTTTTAAAATTGTCGTTGTTAATTGCTGTCGAGTCCTAGGCGACTCATAGCGACCCTATGAACAAAAGTCCTTGACACTTGCGTGCGTGACTTCATCCTTTCTCCAGGTTCATAGGGTTTCTGGAGGCAAGCTATTTACGGAAGTGGATGCCACTCCTGCTTCCAAGCTTGTTTTAATCAGGAAGCGCCACCAAACACTGTCCACCATAGGTAACCATTATCACATTTGACACATCAGTGTCACAGTGCATAAGATTATTATTATAAAAACAAAAGGATAACTAAAAAACTGTGGCTGACTCTGAGAAGAATGGGAATCCCAGAACATTTAATCGTGCTAACGCGAAACCTATACTTGGACCAAAAGGCAGTCGTCAGAACAGAGCAGGACAAAACTGAATGGTTCAAAATTGGGAAAGGTGTGCCCCAGGGATGTGTCCTATCTCCATACCTTTTCAACCTGTATGCAGAGCAGATTATCCAAGAGGCTGGGTTATATGAGGAGATGCGTGGCGTTAGGGTTGGTGGAAGATCTATCAACAATCTG